TTGAAACATTAATAAACTTACTTTCCCCTTTAATTGTGGCTTATTCATATTTAAATAGTAATTACTTGGTTTGGGGTATCTCATGAAAGTGATTATGCAGAAAAAAATCTCATGGGGATAGCTTTCCAAACAAACCCGGGCTTTTCACCTTATCTAAATGCATTTGTTGGTTAACACAAGTATCTTCATAGCTTTTAAAAAAACTTTACAGTTTTAACAATGTAACATCCTTTGGTATATGGATAAGTTGCTTTTTTTTGTATGCCAAAAAAGTAGATGCAGGCTATTAAGAAACTTTGCTGACTGACAAGAGATTATAGGTTCTTATTTAAAAACTAGTAAATAATACAAATGCCGATCTGGTTCAATGTGAAATTATTGTTTTTACATATTCTAATTATTTCTTGTTTTTTACCGTACTGTTTTATATTTTTGATAAAGTTCGAATATAAGTTTAAAGCTGACACGTATATTTGATGCTGTACATCATCTAAATTAAATTGTTAGATTTTCTTAAACTATTTTTGTTTGTGGCTTTTTATAATAAGTACAAGTACTGTAAATGGATGCGCTTCAAAAATTATTGTAAATTATTTTATGTATTTATTTATAAAGGAATAATATATTGTGCTTTTAAATTTTTATTTATTTATAGGTACGAGCATAATATTTTATGCTCATTGATTTTTCATTTTTTTATCATTTTTTAGTTTTAGCGTTTAATTATTTATTAAGAATTGTATAGCATTTTCTGAGAGTCATTGTGATCATTTTAGTTTAGTTTATAGAGTAAAAACTAGCTTCTCCCGAATGCTACATATATTGAAAAATCCAAAAAAAAATTAAATTTTTTGTTTAAAGTGAAAAATCTTAATGAAATAGTGATTTAATGGCAATACCGCCAATGAGATTTATGGGGAATTTAAAAACGATTTTTTCGTATAAAACCTTGTTGGTACATTTTTCGCAAATATGCGAAAATGTCAAAAACCGCTGAAATCGACTACTTTTGAAAAATTCATAGCTTGGCCCTTTTAAGAAGGGCCCTTCTTTAAGGTAATAATATTACTAGTATATATGCTTGTCATCATTAAAGCTTTGTAATAGTGCACATTTGTATATTGTACTTTTTGTACCTCTTGAACAAAAAACAACCGTTCCGAGCATCCTCCATTTCTTTTCAAGTAGCGTCTTTAGCAAAATGGTCTACTTTTTCATTGCCTGAAATATTGGAGTGACCTTTGACTCATACAAAGTTATCAATTATTTTAAGAGAAGTTAGGATCCTTAGCTTTTGTCTTAATGGCTACCAATTCAGCTGTGAATATTGAGGAATCTGATTTTAATTTGTACTAAAAATAATCTTGAATATTGTCTATGTAAATGACACAGCCAACACACCTTATTGTGCTTGTGAGGTAAGAGTTTTACCAGGCATACTCTAAAAAAAACTAATAATTTTTTGTTTGTTTCTTTCACTTTTGCGAAAACTTAAACAAAACCATTCCTTAACGGTGTGAATGAGGTTAACTTTGTATGTAAATTAATGGCAGAATATAATATACTTGCCATACAATTTCAAACTCCAGTATAACATTAGTTGCGAAAACAACTGTTTGTTTAACATAAGTAATTCCTAAATGGAAAAAGACGACAAAAAAAACGGCAAAAACAAATTGACAGCCACAAGTAAACAAACCACAAATTGTAGGATGGTTGTAAAAAATGATATACATTTTTAAAAGATGAAAATTTTAGAGAAAGTCAGAAGAAAGAAAAGAAAACATTTTCTAAACAAAACTTAGATAGAACACAAACTAAAGTATTTGAAACACTTCAGACAAGTTCTTAACAAAGTAAGAGAAAATATAAACTTTTTTAGACAACTCACCTTTTTTAGACAACTTGTACAGTTCTGTACAGTAAATGCAAGCAGAATCATCATTTTCTTCATCAGCACAAGAAGGTTTTCTTTCGTTTTGCGACTCTCATTCTATAAAAACATTCCTTTTACCGCTCTTTTTATCCGCTTTGGAGGGATCTCTGGTTTCGGTTTGTTTTTTTTTGCCTCCTTTAAATTTGGAGTTGAGTTAAGATTAGAAGTGCCTTCACGTTTACTTGCCTTTTGTCCCTGGACAGAAACAAATGGTCCGACTGGAACTGGACTTAAATCTGCTGGAGTAACCACTAGTAAAATGCCACTTGTTTGAACCTTCAAGTTTGACTGAGCTGTCATCACATTAGGGACTTCTATGATAGAAGAGGAAGGTCCAGTTTCTGCATTATTATCATAAACGTTTACAGCAGGTTTGACACTATCTACTATATTGGTGGTTTCAGATGCTTGTAACATTTAGTCGGGGAATACATCGGGGTTAATTGGGTAGATACCAGTTTTGAAAAATCCATGAGCAGCATTCTGGACCATAGCTACTTTTCCATGTGCTTCATTTAACAGACCTCCAATTTGGAACTAAGTTACAACTCGACCAGGATGAGCTTTGAGCCATTTGGATATTTTTTGGTCATATTAGGTTTTGAGTGGACCAAAGAATGCTACATCGAGAGGTTGCATCCGATGTGTACAGTGAGCCGGCAAACATACAATGTCATTTTCTTAGGCATACAGAAGAGCGTCAAGATATTTATGACTTAAATGTTTATCCACAATTCACAAAACCTTCTCTATGGAAGATGCCTTGGCATATTTTTGGAAATTCTGCAACCTTTGTAAAAACACTGGGCCCGTCTTTCAGCCAGTCATCCTGTAATTGCACCTACTTGTTTGCGACCGGCTGTAGCAAACACTTTCTGCGGGTGCTGTACGGTAACTAATGCAGATTCATCTGCAATATAATATATCCTAATGGGATTAGTATTTTCCTTTATCCAAGTCTCCTCTAGCACTTTAAAAAATTTAGCTACTTGAGGTTTATTAAAAGCCTGCGCTCTTGCTGCAGATCTGGCTTCGGATTTACGCCGTGTAATATCTGGATTTTTTTTGTGAAATTCTCCTAACCAATCTTTTTGAGCAGCCTTTTCTGGTTATTAAAATGATATTTAAACCCATTTTTGCCTGCTAAACTATAAGCTAACTCTAATAAGTTCCTTCCCGATAAACGAAAGAACCTTGACTCCAGCATTTTTAAATGTTTAACCAACTGTCTTTCCATTTCTATGGGAAAATTACGTTTAAACCAGCCTAGTCGTTTTTCGCCGGTTTTAAAATTTTTATTTTTTTGCAAGTCATGGCTTCTTAGGGTTGCGTAAGGTATATTAAAAATATTTGATGCCTTGAGCGACACCATTTCACCCTTATTAATAGCTTCTATTGCCTTGGCCATATAATTTGTATCACATGACTGCCTATTGGTCGTTCTTGCGTAATTTCGCGGCATAATCTGTAAAAAACAGAAATGTTATCCATTTTTAAGGCACAATATTTTTATCAATGTACGATAGGGTAAAATTGCATGCTATGCCATTTTGCCCTCTACGTCCCTATGTCATTTTACTCCACATGAACTTAATTTAAAGAAATACAATTTTTGACAAAACAATAACTTATTTACTAAATTTGAAGCAAGAAAACAATAAAACAATAATTTATTATAAATATTTAAACTTGCCGGTTTATCGCACTAATTACATACAGCAGATTTTTATATTTCGCGCCAAAAACTTTTCGATGCCAAAAATAAAATTTTCCAACGTGCTCCCACTGACCGATGAAGCTGAACTGAATGAAAACTATCATGACTGGTACCCACGCCACAATTATATACATATTCGTTTCTGAGCACTCTTGAGCAACGAATTCGGTATAAAAGCCTATGTCATTAAACTCCATTGTCATTTTGTTTGCTTGATGCATTTTGTACACCATTTCCGTACCACAGAATAATAGCAGAATGCCCACTCTCCATGGAAAATTAAGTACGCGCATCTCCTTAGCGCAGACGTTCCGCCATGTTTTAGAGGGAACCAGTGTTGTTTATGTGGTGTGCATAGACACAATTAACCCGGTTTAATTGACTTACGGCAATTATAGACTAGATACTATATTAACATTGTTAAATATAATAACATAAATATAATTAAACATAAATATAAACAATTACATAACCTCACAGATCATATGTCTGTGTTATGTGTTTCCTTCTAAAACATGGCGCCCGTGCTGAAAAACTTCAAAGGCGGTATCTGAGAGTGGGCATTCTGATTGTTTATTCTTCTGTGTCCGTACTTAAAATCTGAAAACGTCTCCAAGCGTCTTTTTTGTAAAATACCTCTTTTCGATGTACTGAATCTAGAGCGTTCATAGCTGACTTGTCATTAGTTTCATGCGTGGCAGACAACGATGCTAGATAAAAAGTATGTGTTTTATCCCGCCAGGTATTAATGACGTGCGGCTAAAAAACCATGAACTCAACTGTAGTTTGGTTTTTATTATTTTTAGTTTTATCTAATGGCACATTTGTAAATAAATGAGTTATGTCAAATCATATAAAATGTTGACATTGAAATCTATTCCAAACGATGTTTTTGACTTATTGAAGTAATTGTAGTATTCATGAAACAATATACCATTAAAATTTAAAATTATAAGAGATTTTACAAAAAAAACGAAATTATAATTCGCAAGGTAATGTAAATATTTTGAGATAAGTGATCAGACATTTATTCTTTTAATGACTTACATTTCGAGAAAATTGAAGAAAACGCTGAATTATTGTTACTAGTTTTTAAATAAGACACCCTGGCATCATTACATACACACTTGTCATTGTCACATTAGTTGTAATAATATAAACAGCTTTGGGGAAAATATGCAGTATATTTATTTTAACACCAAATTTTTTCTTAACTTTAGCCTTCTAGAAAAGTGGCTTTCCATATGCGGATCCATCGGTTTTTCGTATGTAAGTTTATTTTTACTGTTAGGCTTTAAAAATAATACCTATACTGTCAAATTATTACAATTTAGTTTTCTTTTCCAGTTCTCGCCTTACTAGTCCTATTGGAATATGGATTTATTCCGGGCAATAAGCTGGGCTACTACTGCCAGGATCCTCAAATATCTCACAAATACACCGGTGAAGTGATCTCGCCGATGGTTTTGGGTATAGGATCCCTCCTAGTACCTTTAATAGCTTTATTAGTGACTGAAGTATTATCGAAACGAAGTTTTAAGAAAATTAACGTTCGAGAAGTATGGTACTACTACAGAGAGTGCGCCACTGGATGCATCTTGGTACTTCTGTTGACAGAATTTGCTAAGATCTTGGTAGGTGAACATCGACCACACTTTTTAGATGTTTGCGCACCTGACACAGCTACTAACTGTCGTGCGAACGAGTATGTAGATACGTATATTTGCACAAATCCAAAATATAGCAAATACTTCCTGATCGATAGTTCAAAATCTTTTCCATCCGGGCATTCTTCCGTCTCATGGTTTATAGGAGCATTTTCTGCAGTAAGTACTTTGTATATATTATTTGTTCAACCATATAATCAGTACAGATACTAATATAGTTAAAAGGAAATTGTATTAAATATTTTTTATTTTTGTTTATCTACAAATGTTGATTTTTTAACAAATAATTAATTTTTTGTGATAGTGGGGATGACAAATTTGGGACCCCAAAAATATGCAAAAAAAAGTTTTACCACGCAATTTGCGCAAATATAAGAATTGCATAAGAAAGCTACACTCTCCACCTTTAAATGTCGATGAGACATTTTGATCAAAAGATATCTAATTTTTATAGTCAAGTTCATACAATTTTTTTTTTGTACTGTCGCTTCAAGCGTTATTTCTGAGAGAACGGTTGATCCTACCCAAAAAGTGCTACATTTTTGTTTAAAATGATATCAGCTTGTTTTTTAATTTGAAACATTTTTTTTTCTACAACTGCGGCGTACAGATTCTTTGTAAATCGATTTTTTTCGCTTTCCCCCCTTAGTCTCGGGGTTTTATGGGAAAACTGGGAGTAGGAGTGTTTAACTCTTGCATATTTTTGGGGTCCCAAAACTGACATTTCCATCAAAATCAGCTTGCTGGTATGATTTTTGGAGGTTCACTAGAGTATAATAACTTTGAATTTGTTTAATAAGCATGTTTTCACCATATGTAGGCAGTTCGGTTTACTGGCAATTTTTCAGGTTTTCCAGTTGTTTTTTTAACTGAACTTAAAAGTTCTGTGATATCTATTTTTTCAATTGTTATATTTAAAAAAAAACCTGGCAGCATTTTGTTCTTTTTTAAACATATTTGTAATGTAGCGAATCCATTTTTCTTTTTCAATATAAGTAATTTTAACATGCTCTTTCATGTCTTTTCTGCCTTATGTTTGTCTTTAATTTTTTTGTAAATTCCAGTCAATGCTCTATATTTGTTATTCTTACAAGTTCATGTATTTCATTTCTCATTATCTTTTACTTTTTGTATGACTGTGGGTCTTGATGATCTATATCTTAAAGAACTATTTTACTTTAATTTCCTTAATATCTGCATGAGCCAATACATTTTTGTTTTGAACTTTCTGTTCGTTTTTATTATTTTAATTTATAATGCTTCGTGTTCTAATTCTTTATCGTTTTATCAAAATCCACTTTGATCAGTTGCCATAATCGGTGAGGTTCATTTTGGTTTTATCTCTTAGCCATTTTTGTTATATAAATCTTACCCCCTCCTTATACAATTTTATTTGTAGTTCTTAGCATTTTTGTCCTATAACTTTCTGTAATAACAGTATTAAAACGAAGATTGCCCTGCGCTAAAGAATGGTAACTTTCCACATTTGCTGAAGGTAGATTCCTCACGTTTGAAGTTTGACATGTAATGTTCTGCTTGTTTTTAGCATGTATTCCTGACGAAATTTATTATTGGTATTCATCCTCTTGTATTCTTAAAGATGTACTTATATTGCAGTTTATGATTTACAAAGAAGTTAGTTCCGTTCATAAGTAAAACACACAATTACCACTACCATTGTCACTATTATTGTTTACAATTTCTCCTGATCCTTATATTGTCTGACCTCTGTTTACTTTAATATTCCATGCGGTTATCACGGTATGCTCCTTATGTCTTTTGGTTTCCAATTCTTTGTCCCTTTTCTCGCGTTGCAAACAAGCTATTTACTTGTTTTTAATCTTGGATGCGTGGAATGCGTGATATGGAGAGCGTAGACGTTTATGAAACACTGGACAGTACCTATAATAAAGAAGAAGAGGTTACAAATAAAACCAGAACACTTATCAACAGAAAAGCTCCAGGAGCAGTCTACGAATGTATAATCTTATCAACAATGCACCAACTGTAGTGTCAGGATATTTAAAGAATGGTATTTGGAACAACAGTATTAATAAAAACAAAGGTAATAATAATAGTCTCCCGTTTTATACCGCACGCGGCTTTGGGAGTATAGCAGGGTAGTCTGCTATATCTAGGGCCTACGGTATACAAGGAAGGTAACATGGCCAGTGCTACGCTTCAACCGCCTATTATTACCCCTGGTTTTACCCAAGGTACTCATTTTATTCAGGCTGAGTCGACCTGGGGCCTATAGACATTTTTAAAAATGCCTAGTTGTTCTTGCCGGCGGTAGGATTCGAACTCACGACCACCGGCATGCGAGGCAAGCACACTACCGCTTGCGCTACGCGCAAGCGGTATAACCAAAATTAATATATTAATGAAGAAGCATAATGGATAAAACTATAGGATAGGACGTAAGGAATAGAGGCATAGGAATATAATGTGGGGTGCAAGTTGTAATAAGAGAGAAGTTGAAGACCCATCAAGTGTATAGTCACGTGAAAAAATTAGAAAAAGACAAATTAAGAACTACACTAGAGGGATCCTAGTTGCAAAGCACAAACAACGAAGGCCTCCAAAGACATGAAGAGATCATAGGCGGTCACCTCACAAGAAACATTTCAACCATGAATTGGTATCACATATCCTATTAAAAACGAGGAATAGAAATAACAATTATTTGTAGTGATATCGTGTAATTTTACAAATATCCTGCCCTTCAAATTCTTATGTTCTTGAGTCAAGTGATATATTATTTTCCAATTCATATCCAGCCTTTTGTTTTTCGGAAAATCTCTCCTGTTCTCTAGTGCTAGTGAGTAACTGAAATTACGAATGTCAGTTTTTACTTAAATTAAAGATGTAATAATTAGTATATTAGACACTTTAAGTACAATTTTTGTTATTAGGTACATAATCATTAAAGTTTTTTTATATTTTATTTTAGTATGTCATTCAAACAAGACTGTCAACCATGTACACTGGCCGACTGCTGAAGCCCTTCCTAATCTCAGTGTGCCTTTTCTGGTCCATTTTATGCTCTCTTACAAGAATAACTGACAGACGTCATCACTGGTGGGACGTACTAGCCGGATGCGTTCTAGGTCTTCTAGGAGCATTATACACCGTAAAAATAGTGCACAAGAAAATTTTTGGAACTGAAGAAATCACAAAAGTTTCTGCCTCGACAACCACTCTCTTAGATGTTAAGAACAAAGACGCCACTAGTGTAATAATATAATGCTTGTGCTGATTGTTGTGGGTATGGTTCTGCCTACATAATTATTGTGGGATTCATTAAATTGGTGGTTTTCGAAAAAGTATGAGTAGTTGTCTAAGAAATTTGCCTTTGGTCTGTGATTATTAAACGCTTTTATTGAAAATAATACTAATAAAAAAATTGGAACAATGGTTGTTGTAAAAAGACGAAAGGACGTATAAAGTGTAAGTTATTGCGTAAATCTTCTTGAGTGAGAAACGCACACTATGCAATGCATTAATGGTTGTCTAACTAGTAGACATTAGTGTGTAAGTAAATTATTTCAATTCACCTATTGTGTAGGTAATTTATATTTTATGGATAAATTACCAAATAGTTTAAGTCTTTATAGGTCCCCTCATTTTCTACTTTCATATTTTATTTAAAGTTGTCTGGACAGTTATTTGGCTACAAATGAATATTAGTAATGCTTTTAAGATTCATAGTTTATAAATATTACAGCTATTCAATTTATATTCATTGCAACTTTACTTAATCATGAGTGAGTCTATCTACCCATGGTGTGAATGATTTGAATATCCTCGATTCCTCCAATAAACAAAAAATAAAAAAGTATTGCAAATGTTTTGTGTTTCCGCGTATTTTAAAAAGAGCCATTTTGGCGATGTTGATAAAAAAATTCGTGTTCATGAAGCCAAAGCGGAAGCAAGTTGTCTAATAAGTAGATAACACTGACCGAATGCCACTGACTGAATGCCGAACTTCCGATCGTTTGGCCGGTGAGAAATTAGCTAGAGTGAGTAGTCGAGGCAATTGTAGTCATTTTGCGCACCTTACCAAAATAAAGTAGTCTTATTTAGAAAATGTAGTACTCAGTTGTACAGTTGTTCGGAGTTGACGTCGATGTTCGGTGATGTCCTTTATATCTGTGTACACTTAAGTGCTATATTTATGGGAATTACAATTATCCCAAAGTACAATTTTTCTGATACTTCAAATACCATACGTATTTCGATATTCAACAAACGACAGAAATTTGAAATAACTATAAAATACACTAGACAATAATATTAGGATATAGAAAAAATATTGTCCCTACCTTTTAACAGAAATTGCCTCTGGGAGGCAGTATCTGGATAGAAAATATTTAAAGTGGACCAGGCCAAACAGCCGATCAACCAAACGCATTAACTGGAGAAAATATTCTCGAACCTAGCTAATATTAATAGAGAATAAGCAATACATATTTCAGCACCAATATGAACGTCTTAATTTATCACTAGCAATGATTATACTGATAGCAGTAAAACAACAGAAAAATCAGGTGATTTCATCAATAAAAAAGGTACTTTAATAAATGTTTTCAACAACCATAAAGTAATTGATACTACTACTCTAATTATGTAGGCAGAAATTTTGAACGGTTAGGATGCAAGTAAGTCTTTTAAAATAAAACAAAAAACATACTAGTCCGGCTTGAAGCACATTATTTTTCTAATCACACCAGTAATAATATATCAACTAATCTTACTTTTACCTTTGTCGTTGCTGTTACTTTTATGTCTGTGAAGAAAATTTGTAAATATTCCAGTATTACTTGTATATATATTTTTTAGGTTAGGATTATAAAATTTTGTTAAAACTAGTCTTCTCATTCCCAAATTATTGTTATACGTAATGTAAATGTTATACTCATTTAATATATCCTGGAGTGGTACCTGGTATTTCTTGATCCAGATTTTTTTAGTTGTTTTTGGAGTTATATATCGGAAATCTTTCACAATAATATAAAGTAAACAAGTGCAACAAATATTTTATTTATTTATAATTAACAAAAAATTAATGTCCAGAGGTAAATTTTCTATAAATCGTATTAGTCTGTCATCTAAATCTTTTGCTATGTATTAATTATCTTAAATTAACAAACGAATTAGTAGTATCAACTTATTGTCTTCAGAGTTTGGACGAACCGTGTGTGTGGTTCCAGTTCAATGTTTCGCTGTACTTGTTTGTAGTTTGGCATCAACTACCGGGGATGCATTCACACAGTTACTCAGTAGCTACGTACTTGAAGTGAAACTAGAAATGAAAACTGAATTGACTACAATTACGTCGAACCTAGTCGATTTATTCTTTCTTTGGAAAATGTGTTTGTTTGGATAAGAGTATTTATTGGGGAAAAGATCGTTGATTTAGGCTTTTGTGGCCACTTTAAGGAATAAAATCTGTAATTAGAACATAGTATAAACGATTTGTAAAGAAATTTTTTGGAGATTGTTTAGACTTCTAAATGTGTTTAGTTGGGCTTTCAAAAATAGAATTATTGGACTTTCTTTAGCAAACGTGTGGAAAATAGTTTTCGCCTTCACCTCACCAAGGAAAGATATCATTTGCAATAAGTTACGACATCTGCTGAGTTTATTTTCGGATAGTTTCTGGGTTCCTGCGGAGTTGAGTAAAGACCACAAACAGAGGGATTGAAGAATCAACGTTTCTTTTCAAATGTTTTTTTTTTATTACTGGTCCTAATTTTATAAATGCGTCGAGGGCAGCAATGCAAAACTACTCTATGAGAGTTTTTATATAACTGACCATTTGTGTCGTTGGCCATTCTCATCTTCCTTCGTTCGAAGAGTGGGAGTTACTGTAAGCGCTATTTGTATCTGCCAAGCAGTGCAAAATTGGGTAACAGATGTGAGACATTCCGCTCTGTGTATTCTCGGAATGCCTTTGGATTTTTACCGCTTCATAAATTTTTCTGGAACAGAAGAATCAGTATGAAATATTTGGTTACGTGCAGTGTTCTGCCACTACACAAAGAAAAAAAGTCGAGTCAGATCTGGCCAGACGGACAAGTTTCGCTCATGTGTACATGAGCACAGGAACAGGGGTTGGAATATACACTACAAACATAAAAAAGCAGTGGTTATTCGTTGGTTTCAGGTAGAAATGTGGTTATAAAGTTGTCTTCTTTTCTTAAGGATCATATTGATTCTCTCTATAACGAAGCAGTTATATGGAAAGAGACAAACAATTTCTTTTTGTAATTTTTTATGATATAAATTTTCTTTGAGCAATTTTGGAAAATATACATTTTATAACTGTCGACAAATTCTATTTTAGAATAATTGTATATGTAGGATACTTTAATCTTGTTTATGTTTATGTAATGTGAAAGATTTCTTGATGTATTTAACGATTTGTGTCCAAAAAGTCAAAATTGTCTACCAAGTTTGTGACGCGAGATGAGTGTAGATGAACATTTAAATAAATACTAACGTCGAAACATTACCACTATAAATTTGTATTTCAAATTCATTCAATTTTTGTTATAAGATATACCTACTCATTTCGATTCTTGTATAGTAGTGATTACATTAAAACATTATTTAAAAATTATTAATACTCTCTTTCATAAAAATATTAATTTAAACCAAACGTTTGTGACATTTTGTTGCGTAGGTTTTGATAGGACCCATTCTACAGGCATCGGCAAGTCTCTCTGAGTCGAAGATAACATTAAAGAATACATCGTAGTAAACATTACTACACAGATATGCCACCGAATGGTGCCTAGTTCCAATCTTTTTGCCGGTGGGATGAATCCGTTGACTTATGCGAAAAGATGTCATTCACTGAACCAGCTACAACCTCATCATGATTGGTTTTATCTGTATGCATTAATCAGTTCAAGTTTATTTTTTAATAAACTATTAAAATTCAATTTATTGATGAGTTGGATCCAAATATCAGACTATCAAATACCGCAGGACAAAGCGGTATTTGTAAATAGAAAAGGTACACGTAAGCAAATCCTGAACCTGAGACAACTCATCACAAAGTCGAGAGAATTTCGAGTACCTATTATAATATGCTTAATTGACATTTAGAACGCATTTGATTGTGTAAGCTGGATAAATCTGAAAATCCGTAAGGAATGGGTGGATGCAGTAATGGTGACTGTTAGAAAAATCTTCAATTTTAGATTTACTGATAACACTATACAAGCTTGCCTAGAGTTAAGTCGGAAATCATTAAAGTTGGTCTTAAAACTAATAAAGACAAGACAAAAATATTGGTGACAAAAAGATTCAACACTACTCCGCTCAGTAACCACTTGCAGAAATACCAAATACTAGACAGCTTCAACTATCTCGGATCTAGTATAACTAACGCTAGCAATTGCGAGTCAGAAGTTTAGAGACACATCGGTATGGTAAAAAATACGATGAGCACAATAACTAAAATTTGGAAAGATAGATCTACATCTCAAAAAATCAAGATGAGATGGGTGACTGCACTTGTACTCTTAATATCTCTATGTGGGCAAAACCGGTGATTCTTGGCACACAATAAAGCCAAAAATTCATACCTTTGTGGTGTGATGTTAGAAAGGCATGCTGCACATACCTTGGACAGTTCATCGGAGGATCCTAGTTCCGGAGAGAAGACCAAGAGGAGGGTCAATAGCCAGACGGTCCGACCAAATTCAGAATTCAGCGGGCCACCCATTCTGCGAAAACCAGCTGAACATAGAGAGCAATGGAACAATCATCAGTAATGGAGAAACAGCAAGAGAAAGTGAGAGAGAAAGAGGACCCAAATCTTTTTGATTTTTTTAAATAATAAATTAATACTCAAAATCCCTAAATTTTGGTTTTTATTGTACTAACAATTATACAATCGAAATAAATCATAATTTTTAATAATTAACAAAAATATAACTTAAATAGCATCAATAGTTTAACTTAATTCCGGAGGACCTACCATATATGAAAACATTGTTTCACTAATTGATTCAGTGTGATCATTGCTATACAAAAATCAAAGTCAGCCCTTTAAATGTTTTGAATATACGAAAAAGATGAAAAACACTTAATTTGTTTAACCAACTATTAAAAATTAATTTCGATAGGTTTATAAGCTCCACTCATCTGGTTAGACGTCATAACAAATATTCCATTGTAACGTACTACTGCAGTAAAATTTAATTTTACAGTAAATTTAAAAAATAATGTAGG